CCATTTGACCATTATCTGGAAGGCTCCAGATTGGCTAGAGCACTGATTTGGTACCACGTGTGTGGCTAGGATGGAGAGATGAGGAGATAAATGAGGAAAATGAGGGAGAGACGAGCCAATCAGGAGGGAAGGAAAATATGGGAAATAAGGGAAAGAGAGAGGAGGGAATCGGTCGACCCGGTTCCTTCCCTTCAACCTGCGACGCGACCCGACGGAATCCATGATTCCCGACACCTTTCATGGCAATTTTCCGGTGAATTGAAGCTGTCACGCCCCGATCCCGATGTCCTCGGGACATCGAGATGGCCACGTGTTAGCCGACACCCGAAGGTGACGCAAGCCATTTATAAATGCAAATGCTGAGAACATGTGAAATATGCACGTAGAATTGTAACAAGATAAAAGGATGTGACTATTCATGCAGTAGTACAGTACTATCGAAATAACAATATTCAACTACCAACAATGAATTGTTATGATAATGCATGACATGTTCGGAGCTACACTAATACAGAGTACAAGCACAAGGTAAGATAGGGAAGTGTTATTACAATAGATGCCAAGGCATAGAGAAATAGCACTATGTCATTGGTAGGGGAATGCCTTGTAGCTTGGGTCATATTCCTGGTACCTAGGTCCTGAGGGGGCACAAAACAAACATGAATAGACCAAGTTGATATATATAATACTGAAACAATTATCAACATACTAACCCCCAAAGTTTTATGAAAACATAGATAGCATAGTATGTAATAGGTTTTCCGAAAACCCTAGCATGCCATAAAACTTGTCATAAATCATATTTCGTATAAAGTGTGCTAACTAGTTGTATCGGTGTTGTCCGAATGCATATAGAACTCTTTCTTCATAAACTTCCCTCATAAGTATCAATCGCTCGCAGACTCTTACATCACCCACTCAAAGGCATATATATAGTATCAATCGCTCGAAGGCTCCTACAGCACCCACTCGAAGGCATATATAGGTCCACTGGCTACGCGTAAAACCATTGAATATAGTCTTTCCAAACACACACACACATATATATATATATATATATATATATTTCAAAAGCATATTCATAGTATAAAGTCATCCATCATCTATACTATAAAGAAGTGTGTGAAAACATGTTCTAAATAGTATATCGCCATACATCAGATATCCTACAAAGAACATGGGTTCGATAGAAAATATGGTATTCCAAAATAAGCTCAGTATAGCATGATAATCAATTTCTCATAAAACGTTCACAAAACGTATTCAGTAAGTCATGCTTTTCATGTATGCATTTCTACTATTAAAACATGCATTTTAGAAAGGGTCCACTCACAGTACTCCGCCGTCAAAAAGCTGCACAAACTAGCGAAGGTTGAACGCCACAATATATGCACCTAAGCACATAAAGGGTACAATTTGATAAACTCTACTCAAACGATTTAATTTGGAAAAAAACGGAGGTTAGAAACGGGTCCAGGACGTCGAAATTAGCCTAGAAGGGTTCCGGATGAAACCCAAAAAGTCAACAATCAGCGTTGATCAGGTCCGGGTCGGTCAAAGTCAACGGGTCCACCCAAATCAAACCGGGTCAAACCAATTTAGGGTTGGACTGGGTCAAGGGTTTGGGCTTGGGTCTAAAACCGGGTTGGGCCTTAGGGTTTTAGGCTTTAAGGTTTAACGGACATAGGCTTGAAAGCTCGGCCTAAGGTTAGGGTTTTGGGTATTGGGGTTTAAAGGGTTGGGCTTAGGGGGTTAGAGTCAACGAGCCTAAGGCCCAACTTCTAATTTGCCCAAGAGCCTAAGTCAAAAGGGGTTTTGGGGTGAGCTGGCTCAACAGCCTGGGCTCAAATGTAATTGCCCGAAGGCTTGATTTCACCTGAGAGATCGCCAGAGCTTCCCCAGCTCTGGTCGACGGCAAAACGCTGATCTACCATCCAATCTACTATGCAAATGAAGGTATAAGAGAGGGGAAGAGACTGGTTACCGTAGTTTCACCGAGAAAAAACCAGAAATGGCAGGGATCTGGGTTGGGTGCCCTCGGGGTCGCCGGGGTTCCTATGCACATCGTCGTGCTTCCCAGAGATGGTGGAAAGTGAGGGAGAGTTTAGGAGGGTGGTGGAGATACTACGTCGTCGTTGGGTGAACGGATTTAGGTGTGCTTGGGTGTGGGTGCGATCGGCGAGGGAAATATGAAAGTGAGAGAGTGAAAGTCAAGCTGAGAGAGTGAGAGATCCAAGAGAGAGATAGTGGTGAGTTAGGGGTTGCCACGTGGCAGCATGAGGGAGAATGAAATCCAGATAAAATGTCCGGATTAGATTAGGATAATGGACCAAATTGAAAAATTACATAACTTTTAGGGAAAATGTGAAAATACATATAAAAATGGGGGTAGGATTTCACAGAAGCTACTTACCCCCTGGAATCAACCTAGCATCCTTTCCCCTTCCATTTCCACTCAAAAACCAACAAATTTGGCCTTGATTTTGCGAAAAATGGATATGAGGGTTCTTGGCAGGGATTCACCAAACCGGAAGCTAACTCCATCAACCACCATCACCAATAGACTCCCTTTAACCTCAGGCACAAAACCCAAGCAGTGGTTGAGGCGTTGGAGTTTGTCTTGGGGTCGAATCGAGAACATCCATTCTTAGGGTTTCTAACGGATCGAGGGCATTTTCAGGTGCTTCCCAGTCGAATTAGACTTCGGCCCAAGTATGAAAGTTCTTCCCCTTGTTGTGTTCAACAATTCTATAAAATTTGATAATTGTTTGGGGTTAAGTGAATTTTCCGGCAAGTTGGGGTGGCCGGCCTTTGCATGGCCCGAGGGCCCACTTAACCCTTCTTGGCTAAATTTAATACCCCGATTCCATATGTGACATCCGATTAACGAAATCCCATCGTTCGAACATAGTTTTGTTAGGGTCCGCCACTTGATCATTATAACCATCGATGATCCAATTGTTGGATCGTCACCAAATTTTAATGCGTTATAGTACGTAATATTTGAGGACCTTAGGAAATTACAGATCGAAAATCCGACATATGGATCTTCCCGAATTGAACTTCTAAGTTTGTAAAACCAAACGTTGACTGCCTCTTAATTTTAGCAATTGACGGAGATCCAATCGTTGGGCTATTATGATATTGTTCTAGAAGATTAATGAGACTCTTGGGAAGTTATGAATCAGAAATTCGTGGGCGGATGTTTCATATTGAATTATATAGGGTTGTGGACCCCACGATTGACTGAGAGTTGACTTTTGGTCCACCTGTTTCAAACTGTCTTAAATACTAATATTAGCAATACTAAAGACTAAGTGAAGTATAGTGGGTCAACATTGGTTAGTGAGTAACTTTAATATATGTGATATGGTTATTATCCTAGTTTCGTATTTAATATCCTTTGTGGATATGAATTGGTTTTATAAATGTGTTTTCTATTAAAATGTGATTTTTAATATTATGAAATGTGATTTGACTTGTGCATTGGGAATATTTGTGAAATGTGATTTGAAATGCATGTTGGATTGTTTGTTAAATGTGAGAGCTAGTAGTGGACTATTAACCCATTGTCATGGGGATTTGTTTGCTTCGATATTGTTTCATTTCTTGCTTCGTTGACCCGTTCTAAATTTAGTACTTGTACTTTGTTTCATTTCGCTAAGCCTTTGTAAATTGAGCACATGATTCATGTTTTATTTCTTTGAGCCATTGTTATGTTTCTTGGACTTCCGCTCAGTTCCGTTGAGTGATCCAAAACAGGGTTCTGCTGGGGTTCCGTTGAGTGGTTTGGTTCCCTGCTCCGTCTGGATTTCGTTGAGTGGTCCTTCATCATATACTAATTTGGATTTCATTGAGTGGTCCGAAATCGTATCTATTTGGATTCCGTTGAGAGGTCCAAAATCCCTTCTACTCCGCGATTTCATTGAGTGGTCCGGAATCCCACTTTGTATTTTGGTTTCATTGAGCGGTCTGGAACCCGATGTTATTGGATTTCGTTGAGTGGTCCGAAATCACATTCTTCAAAGATGTAGGCTTCGGTCGAACTGTGTCGCTCTAGCCTTGCATTTTGGTGTATTGTATGAGTTATTAATTGATGTGATTGTGGAATGGTGTTGGAAAGCATATGTGTGTGTGAATGGCAAGATGACAACTCTTGTTTGGCTTATGGTTGATGTGTAGTGTGGTACTCTATGTTTTATGCTAGAAAGTGTTTTACAAAAAGTTCAGAGTTTAACAAATGGTGAACTTCGAATGGTTTGATCCCGTCAGAGAGTACATAGGCAGTCTAACAAAGAGGTTAGATGCAGCCATAGAGTAAACGAAAAATCACTATGCAATTCAAAGCTTGAGTTGTGCTTTGTCCGTATCTCGGAAGTGGGGTATGTTAAATATACGGGTACTTAGTGACGTCGTGTGTCGATCTTGGATGTACATCAGGTTCGGGGCGTAACAGGGAGCGAGGCCTTTTTATTATTGTCCTACCACCAAAGGCAGTTGGTATTAAATTGCCACTATAAAGGATAGCACAATGTTGTTTTTAAAACACCTATGTTGTATTATTGTCACTCACACAAGGTTCGCAACTCATCCGTCCTTTTGCTTTGCCCGATGTGCCACTCCCACGACGTAGAGTTGTTTTGTAGGGTAATAGGTAGCGGCTATAGAAGAGGTTTTCGAAGGGTGTAGCTATTCAATGCACTCGATAATGGTGTTTGTTTCCTTTTGTTGTAATTTCGTTTTCGCTGATTACCTGATGTATATTATGTATAAGTCTCAGTTGACTCCATTTATTATTATACTGCTACTTTATGTTGCCACATATCGATCTTAAGCATATCTTGGGATCAGAGCATGATTTTCTTTTCTTAAATCTTGGGATCATAGCGTGATAGAAATAGGGGTATTTCTTTTCTTTTTATAATCAGAGAATCAGTGATATTTCATTCACTTTGAATTAGTGACAGATTTGAGCATTTTCTAAAATTTAAACTACTTACCTTCTCATCTGATCCGGTGCTTCCGATGACCGTGCATCCTCTGAGCTTGGCCAACTGTCCAGCATACATTGCAACAGCCCCAGCAGCAGCTGAAATGAACACATTGGATCCTGGTTTTGGGTCTGCCAGCAACTCAATTCCCACCCATGCTGCAAACCCCGGCAACCCTATATTTCATCATCAACCTAATTAGCCGTGATAGAATTAATTTTCATTTGTGAATTATTTTGAAGTAAAAGAAATAATACGAAACCGCACTCTGATTTGAGCTTCTTGATAATCCAGTAACCGCTGAAAAATTATAGAATGTCCGGTTTATAGTGCAGAGGCTAAAATAGGAGTGTTGTTGCATCTACCATAGCTAGGGAAAATGCAAAAGGAAAGAAATTGGGAAAGAAAATTGTTACCTAACGAACTGATATATTCAGGCAAGGGGATCCCATTATTTGGATCGATCCTTCTTGCTACGAACTGGGATGGTACCACACAATATTCAGCAAAATGTGTGAATGGACTGACGACTATGTCACCTTCAACATGGTTACTATCTTTTGACCGAATTACCCTTCCAACCCCAAATCCTGCAATTACCTGCATAAATAAATTTTAATCTTAAACTGTAAATTTGTTATCAATGTTTAAGCAAGCTTGCATGTTCAGCTTTTATGCTCAAACAGAAGTAAATTCTAATAAAGTATTAAATATCAATACGTAAGCAAAATCGGATAAACAAGAATCTCAAAATAAGAACAAGGGACATTAATGTGATTCGGCGTAAAGCCTACATCCACAGGTGAATCCTAATCCTAATGAGAATCCTAATCCTAGTTAAAAGTAAATCTAAATTCTAATCAAATAAGTAATTAACAAAATTTCAACATCAAACAAGAAATCCAACCAAGAAGTCAGATCCAAACTTAAATAAGACACTCAAACGAAATAGGTAACACAAACCTAATTCATGCATCATTTTAATTTTGAGTTGTAAATCACAACATTGCAGCACATGTTACAAGTGTGATTGAATGTACTCTGGTATATATGCACGAACCTCGTCAAGGTTGAACTGGGGGTTGTATAGCCCATCTTCCCGGCCAGTAATTCTGCTGCGTAAATATGGCTCGACGGAAATGAAGAGGGTCTCAAGAATGACATGTTGTTCGGGAATGGAATCAGGGGATAGTGAGAGTGTGACCGTACGGAGTTTGAGATGATCAGAAGTTGGAACACCTTCAGCTGCATAAGCAGCCAAGTACCATTCTCTGCTTTCAACTTCTTCTATCTCTCTCTCTCTCTCTCTCTCTCTCTCTCTCTCTCTCTCTCTCTCTCTCTCTCTCTCTCTCTCGCCTAGCTTCCTCACCTCGTACTGGAGTTTGTTTCTTCTTACAAATACCGGTCTCTTCCTTTTTTGTGATCGTGTCTGTTCATTGTATATCGTGCGATCAGTTTTCATTAGGTATTATTTATATTTAATTTTAAATTTTAAATAATTTCTAATCGCATGATGTACAATAAACGAACACAACTACAGAATTTTTTGGATCCCAAAAAAAAAATCCAGCGATAATTTAGGAGAAAAAGTACTCAAAGACAATAAAAAAAGTTGATGGAGACAAAAGTTTGAAAAGGAAAGGAGTGGAAACTGTGGGTTTGAAATCTTGTATTGGTTGGTTTGTTGATTTGTTGGAAAAGAAGTGGAAGACAATTTTTTTTATTTTTTTTTTAGGGAAAGGAAACTTTTATAAAAATGCACAAAAGTCAGCGCAAATACATCAGACCAAAGGGCAAGCGAAGCTTAATAGGAAAACCTCTGGAAAACCATACCTGGAAATAGACCTGGCATTTTTCACCTGATCCGTTAACCCGATTCGATCCGATCTGTTAAAATTAGTATTCGGGTGAGTGATAAACGGGTCGGGTGGTTAACGGGTCAACACGTTAAATAACGGGTCATTTTAGGTGAACCCGCGAAACCCGTTAAGACCCATTACTGAGGACTTTTGTGTAATTTCAATAGTCCTAATAGAAAACCTCAGGTTCCTCACGTCTCTCTCTCTCTCACCGTCGCATGCTCTCTGAGACATAACCTATTTGCTATCTTTCTTAGTTATTCCAGAAGTTTCAGCAGCTTTTATTTATTCGATTAATTGTTTGTTCAATTCAATTTATTTTCCTGTTCATAACATGTTTGTTGTTTTGTGCAAAGTCTGAATCTTGCTATCTGTTTCTGGGAATTTTCTCAATTGCCCAATTGGGTCAAGTTCTTCATAACCCAAATTCTATTTTTCACTTCACTTTCAATTCTCCATAGAATTAGTTCCAAAATCTCAAATCCCAGTTGGCTTTCTTTAAAATTTGAAAAGTCTGACTTGGGACTGTTGAAAAGTTGAAACTTTATGGATACCCTTCTTGAAAGATATGATGTTTCCATGGAATTTGATTAAAATTTGGCTACTGACTTTGTCAAACTTGTGAATTCAAACCTTCCTAGAAGTTTCATTAAAATATGCAGTATGAAGATGTCTCTACAGTTTTTTTTTTTTTTTTTTTGGATGAAATGTAAAAAAATAATAATGATAAGGTTAACGGGTTGGATTCGGATGATCCGTTAGCCTAACTGGTCGAGTTTAACCCGATCCAAACTCAATAAACCTGACCCGTTTACAGGTCTACCTGGAAAGACCCATGAGGAAATTCCAAGGAGGGAGTGAGAGGCTGAGCAAGCCAAAAGTGGCCACCATAAAAATCATTAGGCAACTAGAGACTCTAAATTCAAGATTTCAGTAAGCCACGAGGACCCACATCAGTCCAGAAATCGAATCCTTGTTCGTGGAGACTATGGGCTGGTTTGGTATTGCTGTGCTTTGAAAAAAAGCTGCTGTGAAAATAAGCGGCTGTGCTGTGAGAATAAGCGGCTGTGAAATAAATCAGCAGAGCGTTTGGTAAACCTTTTTGTAAAAGTGCTTTTAGAAAAAAAAAAAAGCAGTCTGATAGTGGGTCTTTTCATTAAAGGAGCACTGTAGCCCCGTGTGCTTTGAAAAAAAGCCAGTTTTCCAAAGCTGCAAATAGTAGCTTCAGCTTTTTCCTTTGATTTCAGCTTATTCTCACAGCAGCTTCCAAAATAAGCCCTTTTTTTTCAGTTTACCAAACACCTAAAACCCTAACAGCTTTTTTTCATAGGTGCTTTTTTTTTAAGCACCTCACTCCCAAACTAGGTCTATATCTTGCAGCTCGATATGCAGCTCCATTCGCCTCCCTGGGAATTGCAATTAGGACCAGATGATGATTCACGGTTAGATCTCTAACCTCCTCCACGAAATTTCCTTCTGGTGCGAAGCAGGTATCATCTTAGGTAATTAGGCGAATGGCATTCTGTGAATCGGATTCAACAATAAGAGGAAGCCATCTCGCATCAATGGCGAATTCAATACCCACTTTTAAGGCTTAGATTTCCGTAGCCAAGATAGATACTAGGCAAGGGCTGGGCATTGCAATAACGCATTGAAAGACACCATTCCAATCGCGGATCACAGCTCTCACACCCTTTTTACCTCCTCTTGTATCTACCGCACCATCCACATTTAGCTTGAACCATCCTTCTAGCAGGGGACGCCAAACATTACTCTGAGCTTGTAAAGGAGCGCTCCTATGTCGAGAGAGATTGATCTCACAGTATTCCTTGACATAGTCCTTTACACGCTGAATTAGCACCTCAAATTCCAACCTTTGGGACCCAAAAACAAGTTGGTTCCTACCGTTCCACAGCCACCAAATCCCAGCAACAAACAGAGGAATTAGTTGCGTTGGGATCATGATCACTCATATATTTCATGCATTTATACTATCAATTTCTAAAGTCTTTGTGATGTTTTTGTGTTAAAATGGTTGCATTTTACCTTATCTTGTATTAGTGTGCCGTTAAATTTGCTTTAGGATCAATTTCAAGCAAAATGGAGAAAAGGAAATAATAAAAACAAACAAAGAAATGGAAGTGGAGCTTGTCTCCACGGGTGGTGTTTTGAAAAATCATTGCCTTATTGTTTAAGGCAACAGACAGCAAGAAAGAAAGATAAAGGAGATGGCACACGGAAGTGGAACAAAAAATGGGAAAGAAAGAGAAGAAAAAAATAAAAATAAAAAAAGAATAAAAGCAAGAGGGGGACACGGCAAGTGGAGAAAAAAGAAAGAGACATGGCACTTTGTGCTTTGCCTTGCCAATCCCACTACCGAAGTGGAAATTTGACTTGTCTTCCATTGGGCTTTTGTGAAGTGGAACAAAAAATGGGAAAGAAAGAGAAGAAAAAAATAAAAATAAAAAAAGAATAAAAGCAAGAGGGGGACACGGCAAGTGGAGAAAAAAGAAAGAGACATGGCACTTTGTGCTTTGCCTTGCCAATCCCACTACCGAAGTGGAAATTTGACTTGTCTTCCATTGGGCTTTTGTGGCTGTGGAAAAAAAAAAGCATATAGCTGATTTTGGTTGAAAGGACAGAAGACAGAGAGAAGAGAGGGGAGAGCCCGGCAGAAAGAAAGAAAAGAATAACACAGCAGAGAAGAAGAAAGGAGCATGGCAGAGAGGAAGTCAGGAGCAGAGGAGAGCAAAGGAATGGAGAGCTAGTCTTGTAAAAAAGGGTTGTCTCTTTCTTTGATTCTTCATGGATAATTTCTTATGTATTCAAATAATTATATGTAACTAATTTCTTTTCGCTAGAGTGAGGCCATGAGCCGCAACATGAATACGTAGATTTATCTTTCAATTGCTTAAGTGTTGTTACATGCTTGCTTTGATATTTTCAATCACTGAATTAAACTATCTATGTACCTTGATGCTTGATCACCATTAGGATGCTTAGAAAAGTTATCGGATGCAATTTTGAACGAATGTCACGTTAAAATTGGTTGTGCTTCTTGTGATTGAGGATTGTACTCTCCTAAGGTAAATATCATGCTCTTAGGGATTACATGGTTTAACAAAATGATTTTCACCAAGATTAATGAATCACTCATGTTTATATTTAATCCAAATGTCATGGATAAGTTGCATGTTTTGATATGCGTTTTAGCTTGAATGTCATAAGTAAAACATACACAAGGAAAATCCAACCTTCAAAGTATGTGTGTTTTCAATTATTTAAGCAATTGGAATAGCTATGTAGGAGTGTTGTTGGTAAAGGTTGAACTCTAGCATATTGTCAATCTATTTTTCTTCAATCATTTATTTTATCTTGAATTTCCTCATTTACTTGTTTTGTTTAGTTGAATCACTATTCCTATAAGCCAATTCCCATTTTAGATATTTGTTTAAGTCACATCCAGTAGTATTTAGTTTCGTCAAATTAGTGTAGTTCTAAAGTTAAATAAGTTAAATACACAAAAACTCGTAAATTGTTTATATCAGTCCCTAAGGAGATCGACCTTGCTTGAGTCATTCTATACTACAAACATTTGTTCTCTTGCAAGAATTTTCTATGGTTTAACCCTTTTACAAGTGGTAAAATCGCTATCAGATCATGCTCCAAGCATTCCGTAACCACCCCGCTACATCAGTACTCTAGAAGTTCCATGCCGATTTGGAGATCCCTAGCTTAGTCCAAAACCGATTACAGAAGTTACAATCTCTGAAAACATAGAGCACATATTCAATTGCATCATGGTAGCGAGGGTATACCGCACCATCCACGATTCGGCAACGAAGTAAGTTTTGACGTGAAGGAATGCAATCATTCACAACACGCCAAAGGAGGTGTGACACTTCGGATGGGCTTTCATTTTCCAGATTTGTTTCCATAGGGGATCGGGTGTAGATCGAGTACTACCACTCGAGGAAACTCCATCAATCAGATCCCTATACTCTTGAGCTACCCAATATCCACTTTTCACCGAATAGCGTCCATTTGAATTAAAATGTCAAATCCGTTGGTTGTTTCTATCTCCAAGTAAGGGATGGATAAAATTGCTTCAGCCTCCTCCCATTCAAAATGGTTGTAGACTTTTTCCACATCCCAATACCCACCTTCCAATATCAAAGAGTTCACAAATGAATTAAGTGGTAGAGTAGGTTGTGAATGCACCCTAAATAACCTCTCATTTGGAACCCACGCATCATCATAGACACGAACTGACCGGCCGTTACCAATGCACCAACGAGATTCGTGGTGCAACAACTCTCTACCCCATAACAAAGATCGCCATGTGTAGGAGGGGTACGATCCCATTTGTGCTTCCATGAAGTTGGACTCTTTAAAATACCTAGCTTTGAGCATCTTTGCAATGAAGGAATTAGGAAATTCCAGTAGCCGCCAACCTTGCTTACCCAATAGGGCCTGATTAAAATATGAGATTTCCTGAAATCCAAGACCCCCAACACTTTTAATTTTGCACAAATGCTTCCAAGTTTTCCAGTGAATTCCACGACCATTATTGTTGGCCTACCAATATTGAGCAAAAATGCTTTCAATCTCATCGCAGCTGGATAAAGGAAGCTTGAAGACACTCATGGTATAGGATGGAATTGCTTGGCATACTACTTTAATCAATACCTTCTTACCGGCTTTGGATAGCAATTTCCCTTCCCACCCATTTATTTTCTTCCAAATTCGGTCCTACGAAGATCGGAACATTTTCTTTTTATCTCTTCCCGCAACCGTTGGTAACCCCAGGTACCTTTCGTGGCAAGGAACAATTGGGACTCCAAATGCTTGATGGAGCTGAGTTTTTGTTTAAAGACCCGTGGAAGAGCTAAAGCAAACAGCAGACTTTGCAAAAGTAATACTTTGTCCCGATGCATTTTCATAAATCAGGAAAATTCTCCTTAGTTCATTCACTTCCTTCAGTGAAGCATCGCAAAATATTAGGCTATCATTCGCAAAAAAGAGGTGATTAATCGATGGAGCCCCCGCCGCAATGGAAATACCATGGATCAGGCAATTCTCCTTTGCCCGTTGTAGAAGGGAAGAAAAACCCTATGAAACAATTAAGAACAGATACAGGGATATTGGGTCACCTTGCCTGATTCCCCGAGATGAGATTATGGTGCTGTGAGGTCTGCCATTCATAAGGATAGAATACGATACCGAAGTAACGCAATTCATAACTAGAGCTACAAAACGGGAGGGAAACTCCATTTTATACATCATTTTCTCCAAGTACGCCCACTCAACACGGTCGTAGGCCTTGGCCATATCAAGTTTCAGAGCTAGCTTCTTCCTTCCACATTTTCTCCTCCGTTTCAGGCAGTGGATAGTCTCAAATGCAGCAAGTACATTATCAAGAATCATTCTATTTGGAATGAAAGCACTTTGATATTCAGAGATGACATGAGGGAGAACCTTTTTCATTCGCATTGCTAGAGTCTTGGAGATGATTTTATAAATGACATTACATAGACTTATGGGGCGGAATTCTGAGACCCTCTTCGGGAGGTTAATCTTGGGGATCAATGCGATAAGGGTCTTATTCAAAGATCCCAACTCGCCATTTCCGTTCAGGACTGACAAGCAAACATTACAGACATCATCGCCAACTATATTCCAGTATTTTTTATAGAAGAGCACCGGCATTCCATCCGGCCCCGGGGATTTGACCGGCCCAATGTCTTTCACTGCCACCTCGATTTCGTTCCTTGTAAAGGGTAAAGTCAAACCTTGACGCAGACTAGGGGGAACTCTATGTCTTACGGCATCAAAGATTTCATCGTGCAGAAAAGTTGATGAAGACAATAAGAAAAGTTGATGGAGACAAAAGTTTGATAGGGAAAGTAGTGGAAACTGTCGATTGAATTTTGAGTTTTTGAACTTTAATCCTTGAACAAAATTAAAAGTTTAATAAATTTTAGTATTAGATTAATTATTTATTTTAGTCCGTTTATTTAATTTAAATTCATATTATAGTTTTGTTTTAATATTTAATGGATAGATTCATCAGCAAAGAAAAAAAACAAACAAATCAGTAAAGGAAATTAGATAAATAACATTAATTACTAAAGGAAAATAATAATTACTGATGGAGTTGTAAAATTCTAGTTCACAGCTGCTAGAAAGGTTTCGTCTTTCGCCAAGCTTCGAGTATCTCTACCCTGAAAGTTTGAAACAAAAGGATTAAAAAGAAATAAAAAAAGGAAAATAAAAAAATCTTTGACAGAAAAAAGGGAGAAGAAAATTAAGTCCTAAGTTGAAAAACATATAAAAATATTTGTTGTATTCAACCAAAGGAAGTTGACAATTGAAACCTTTTTTTTATGTTAATCTACTTCCCAAAGTAGAAAAACATATAAAAATATTTGTTGTATTCAACAAAAGGAAGTTGACTATTGAACCTTTTTATATGTTAATCTAGGGATAGGCTCGGTTCGGTTCGGTTCGGTCAAGTTCCACCCTCAAATTAGAGTTGGATTCGAAAATTTTCAATGGTTTGGTTTGGTGCAGAGCGGTTCTGCTTAAATTTATTATTGAAACCGTGTGGTTTGGTTCATGACAGTTTCAATTCGATTCATGCTGGTTTACAGTTCTAACCAAAATCATATATATATTTTTTTTCAAATTTTCTACTTCCAATACCAAACACATATTTCAACATAAATTCAATCAAATTTGAGTTCGCACTACTAGATTTACAAATTTGTGACCTGAAGATAGAAAGTGTAAATATAAATCAAAAGATAAAAAGCTTCAAATTAAGACCAAAATGTAAATCTTAAACTAAAACAAAAGTGTACATAATACATAATATACTGAAAAAGAATGAAGAAAATTAAAGTAAGGGGAGAGAAGTGATAAAACAACAAAGGAGGGGAGAGAAGTGAAGAAAAATGTCTT